GTTACTAGGCAACCCAACCACAAATAACCAGTTACTAGGAAACCCAACCACATAACTAAGCAAATTAAGTATAATAAAGTAATTTATTAATGTTACCTGACAACCAAGTTACCAAATATTTTCTAGCAGGCAGCACAAGCATTTCAAACATTGCCTAAAGCGAGACATGATGACCTAATAGGTGTTAAATGAAGCAGAAACGGGAAGGCTACAAGTGCCTGCTCCTAGGCCATGGAAAGAAACATCATCATCCAGCGAAAATATTAATAAGACTAATTAGCAATCTTTGAATGGAAAGTGACTTCATCTATCGAAGTCAGATATCAGTATCACCATGCTTTATAAAAATACAATAAAATGTGTTAAGAAAATGAAACCAAATGCCCCTGAATTGGCTACTCTGAAAATCTGGGACCCCTAGAAAAATTGTACCAATATCATACATCTGTGCTAAAACATGAAAAAGTACTATCACGTTAGCACCACTTTTCTCATAAAGGACCATTATTTGTACCTTATCTCATGTTTAAAAAATTAGATACCACTATTGTTGTTATCTAGGGTACCATATACATTTTTTTTTAAATTAGTAAGTTAGAAAACTTCATTTTAAGGAAGAATGTCAAACAGTTCTAACAAATTTTCTTCAGAATGTTAATTGGTTAATGTTAGTACAAGGAACTCTAAAATACATATTTCTTTAATCTCCATAATTTAAACTTTATGGATAAAATTATGGGAATTAGTTGGATTCACTTTCCATACATTTCTATATTAAGGTATTAGACTAATTCCAAGGGAACAAATCACTGTTGCTTATGCAGATGCTAACGAAACATTGAAGCACAAAGATAACTAGTTTTGCAGGTGGTTGTGAGCTAAAACAATCGGAGCTTAATTCGAAGGCGGCGAGAAAAAACAAAGCAGTCTTGTTTCGGAATCATCAGATTTAAGTACAGATTTGGCATTTCTCATGGGATTCCATTATAGAATACAAAGCTAGAGAAAAAGTGCAAATATCATGTTGTCTTTGTTGAAAACAATGTTAGAAAAACTATTGGGTGGGGTAACATAACGATACCCTGCCCTTGGGCGCCTACAAAAACTGGGTAATTTTAGGGATTTTAACATTTTAGCGCATATAAACCAAAATAAGGAGGTGAAATTCTCCAAATTTTAAAAAAGTAAGTAAAGCTACTGTCTCTTATACACATCTAGATGTGTATAAGAGACAGGGAAGAGGGATTACGGTGGGCATGTCCGATGGGTGGTTTAAGCCCCTGCTTTAGCCCCTTTCCGCCAATGGATATTTCTGAGATCAATAGGCCTATACAAAAAGCATCTCTCCAGAAATTATCTACAACATACAATAGAGGCAATCTCTCAACAAATAAACAAATTAAAAATATAAAAGTACAACTTTCATTTCAAATTATTACCAAATGGCCTATAAAAAAAGAATAATAAATTGTAGAAAATATTTAAACTAAAACATGTGTTTAGATCCAGATATTCTTTGATTAATAAACTAAATTGAGGGAAACAAATTATTAAGGTAGATCGGATAAAAGAGGGAAAGTTAAAAAGTGGATATATGGTGAGTGCTTAATGTTTCAATTTACTGCCTACCTTTAAAATCGTATACGCTTAAAAACTGAATACAAAATATAATAAGTTGTTGTTGGACATATGATTGTTTTCTTACTACCTCCAGTCAATATTTGTGAATCATGATCATTTATGTATACTGTATTATAGACCACACCAAACTCACTGCCCCCACAGGGATATATAACATGCCATATTACTCTAGCCACCAAAACAAACCCGCTTGTGGGTAAACTGATTTCTTATCACGATAATATCCAGGCACTAAGGTGCCACCAGGGAGTCTGGCAAGCACAAGCTCAACACCATGTCCAAAATACCTGTGGTCTAATCAACGATTTGTTGATCTTTCTTGTCATATAGACAGAGGATTACAGCACTAACAGAGATATGTAAACACTAGGTAGGCAGGTACAAATCACCGCCTCTTAACTCCTTCCGAGAGCGCCTCTACAAGCGTATGGCCTTTGTTCTTTCTGCCTGTTGAATTTGACGTCATCCAAATGCACAGCAGCAATCGTCCTTCCCTGTCATTTTCTGTTATTGCAACCATCTCTATATATTGAGTCAACTTGATGAATTAAACTTAAGCAAATAACAGTTAGCAAAGATAATGACATGTGTAAAAACATTACAAATATGTTTGTGCAACAATACATCATTTGTAAGGTCAGGATAAAAATTTCAGGGCAATATATTTCAAAAATGTGTTGCAATGAGTTCAGAGGTGGTTAGAATAATAACTGAAAAATTAAAAATTGTATTTCACAATTATTATTATTCTATTTCACTACATTGTATTAGAAAGAATATTCACAATATTTTTGTCTCTCTCTCATTTCCTCCACTCAACAATTACTGGATGGATTTCTGGATTCCTTTACTAATACCTTTCAACTGTCTGCCACTCATTTAAATTTAAAGTTTGTTTGTTTCTAAAGTCACGTAAAAGCACTCGTAAAGGGTAGCAAGATGAACCTCTACAAGCCAAGCCAACTTCTTGATAAGCCGGCTAGCCTTGTAGGGAGGGTAAGCACTGATAACCAAGCATTTAAAATCTACTTTTCACAAACATTTCTCTGGGATGTGTTTGTAAGACAGCTAGGCAGGGTGCCTGGTGATTAGAAAAGTTGATATTGTGTACATAGATTCAAGGGTTAAGATATGAAGAAATACCAAGAATATTTTGAAGTTTTCTGATGATAAATACTGAATTTCGTTTAGAAAGGCACAGAATGTTTAAAACATAATGTTACTAAAAAGCAAGGGCAAATTTTTTAACAAAAAAGAAAAACAAACATACTAGAAAAACATTAAATTTAAAAAATGAATTTAAAACTAATATCAATGTTTTAAAAATATCATTGAAAAGTGGAAGGCCTACAACATTATTATTTTGCATTACATCTCGAGCTGCACTTGCCTTCTAGTCCACTCCAGTTTTAGGTCCAAATCCTATGAGTTTTCCTACAACAAAATACAACTCCATTTCTCTAAGGTTCATAATGAGACTTCATTGACAGATAATCTTTTCACTCCATAATTGATTTGTATGTTTGCTGTTTCATACAGAAAAAAAAAATTAAGATAGGCCTATAAAAAAAATATAAGGCAAGGAGGAGAGTAAATAATTCCCTTCCACCTTCATTTCTCTGGAATACACAATTGCAACATTCACGCGAGTAGTATAGCCTACGGTATCCTCCTGAATAGATTAAAGCAAAACAAAATTAGCGTTGCCATTATCTCTTGGAGACATCTTAACTCTCACTGACACTATGCACATCAACACGAATGTTCAAACATTACCGGTATATGATACATGAATGTGTTTTGTGGCAACTCCACAAGATTCAAATGACATCACTGCAGGTGTTGTATATGTAAATTAGGTTCTACAAAAAAAGGGTCACATACGATATACCAGGTGGTGTTTAGATTAAAGGTGACAGTGTTAATTAAACTTTAGAACCAATGACCTAGATATTAATACCAAAATATAAACAGAAACCATGAAGGAAATGTTGGTATTTAAATACATTTTGCCATGTATTTTCTATAACTACTGTAGTTATAAAATGAATGTAATTATCACTACGTTCTTAAAATGTACGCTGATTTTTGGAGGTAGACGAAATGTGCAATATCATATAAAATAATAAAATTTTCTCTGTAATTTATTAAAGACATAACACAACAATTTAATAATTAATAACTTCTGGCATTTGTATAGCACTTTCTACATCCAAACATCCCAAGGCAACGCATATACTATTGCCCTGGTTTATTGGTAACCAAAAACATACAAACATGAATGAGTAATCGCCTCCTCCATTCTCTGCATCCTTCTAACACCTATCATTGCTTATTTATTTCAACGGTAAAATGAAAGTAGTATAGGGTTATCGCTGTAGGGATTGGACATGAATGAAGCATGCACATTTAAACAAAAGAAAATATCACTGAGATGAATCAGCAAGCCAACACAGATAAACTGAAACATCTTAATATATAATTCTTTCATTTTTCTCTTCAAAATATTATTTTTAATATTTGACAACAAGGAAAAGGTGGTAAGTAAAGCTAAACTATACATTATTTTTTTCCCCTTTCAATGTGGAAGGAACCATGAAATAGATGGACAAAAATACAAAAAAAATTATAAGCAAAGATGTCTACTTGTTTGTTATAGAGATGCAAGAAAAAAAAACCTTTTTTAAAAATCAGCCCCTTTTCAATCAACGCTCATGAAGAGAGAAATGTTTATCAAAATAAGAGTTTTCACCAATATGCAAAGTAACTAAACAGCTGTATTTCCCAACTTCCTATTTTGACATAAAATTGTGGGAATTCACATGTGAAGACCACAAAAAAGTAATTAAACGGTGAAAAAGGTACCAAAACTGCTGCAGGACACAAACTTTTCTAGACCCCAGTAAAAAACTTGTCAACAATCCAGCTTAAGCCCCAAAGTGTAATTTTCTGGGTAATGTAGGCTCAATTTAAATATACATTCAGACAATCTGTTCCCCACAACCATGAAGTAAAACACAAGCCTTTACATGTTGTGCTATATTGGCGTTTGTTATGCCTAAGGCAATTGCTAGTTTATACCACTGGCCTATATCTTGACTTTGCGTCACTATTTCCAGTAATTTTTAAATGATAAATTCACCTGCCAAAAACAGATTTGAGGAAATTACTTTTCAGTGAAGTTTTTATGACCTAGATAGGTTTTAGAAAGTTTAGGAAAAGTTAAAAAACAAAAGTCTTAAATCACTAACAATTAAATCTTTCCTTTTTTTTTAAAGAAATTATTTTATACCAAACAAAATTTTTTTAAATGAATTAATAACTAAAAAAAGGTTTTGTTTTGTTTGGTTGTAACTTACATTTTTTGTCCTTTTTGGATTTTCTCTCCTTTGGAGCTCCGTTTTTCCTACTACACGGTTGTTTTCGGGGGCGTTTACGAGTCATTAACACAGGTTGTCCCTTCTTCGTCTCCAGAATGAAAATATAAATGGAATGCAAGGTTGGAATTTTTCGGTAACAAACTTTGGAACGTGTTGCCGGATCGAGATTTCAACAAAAATATGGAATGTATTGAAAGGTTTCAATGCTGGAAAACAACTCGGCAACGTTTTTTTAGGTTCCAGTTTTCAAAGGAAAAGACACTGTAGGCTCCGGAAGAAGAAGGTTGGTCCCGTGTTTAAACAACGCAGCATCCTCGATGCATAGTCCCAGAAAAATGAATTAAATGTCAAGACACGAGCAGGTGAGAATGATGTCCACTAAAGGAATTTTTTCCACATCATTTTCAAGAGATTGTTCTAATTAAAAAAGTTTCAGTGGCTGGGCCAGGCTGGACAAGAACTTTTCTTCCCTTGTGGAAATGCTGTCCCATTTAAAACTGAAAACACTTCATTTACTACATACAACCCTCACAACTTGCTAATCTATCACTACAACTCTTTCAGCAACAGCTGTCCTGCTGACCTTTGTTTATGCGCTCCATGTCAGCAGAGAGGCTCGTGCTGCTCTGTCCAATCAGAATACAGGAGTGATGGCCCACACGTGGCCTGCTTCATGAGGGGTGCAACCTTATCATTATGGGCTTGGATGGCTAGATCAAAGCTAGCGGTGACATTTGGAGTTGGCCATCAAAATGCAAGCAGACAAGCTAACAGCTAGGCGAACTTTAAACCAATCTACCAAGCCAAGTGTAAAGCTATGGCCAGGGGCTGAACAAGATTTTTTTCCCTGAAGCTCCTATTAATCAATTTACTCTTCACCTGATAATTGATAACTCAAAGATTACTTTTGAGAAAAGTACTACTAGTAATTACAAAAGCCCTCAAAACATGATGCATCAAATAACACAGCAATCACTAAATTTGAAAAAATGGTTTAATTCTATCAGACATTCAAAATCAGATAACTTGATTACACGATTTTGTGAAGAAACCAATGAAAAATAAATGTTTAAAAACATTTGGAATATCTAAGTAACATAATCCTATATTACAAAAGTTTTATCTATTTAGTAAATAACTACAGTTTTGAGAAAGTTAATTATAAAAAAATTAAAGAATTATTAATCAGTTGACAATTTTAATGTAATTATAAAATGTTTATAGAATATTACATAAAGGATATTAAAAGAGAATAAAATGTTAATAGAATATTACATAAAGGATTTAAAAGAGAAAGTTAATGTTAACTCTAGCAAAGTACTTGTGTTAATAACATCACAGTTTAAACAAGGACACAAGCAGTTTAACCATACTCTACAGTTGTCACTCTAGGCCCAAAAGAGTTTATTTATTCATGCTTACTTGGTACAAGAGTGGTATAATACTAAGGGCTAATTTGGCATTCTGAAATGATGAAGATGTAAACACAAAAGTCATTCTATGCTCAATCTTCTTCTGCATAAGCAGTACTGACTTCCACAAACCTCCAATCAGTACACCAAATCTAAATATTATGACATCAACCAATCAGGAAAAGGTATCACCCACTGAAAACTTCTGAACCAATCAAATTCCAGTGCATACGATCACTATCTCAATTTAGAGGATGACAGCATGGTAAGCTTGCTGCTTCTATTGTTTCCATGGTGATGACTGACAGCTGACCCTAGGTGGCTCTTGTGCTTTTAGAAGGATAGCAGCTGAAACTACAACTCAATCTAAGCATTGCTTGTTGGACCTTTTTTTTCTCTTCCGAAAATCATGATAAAATGTGCGCTAGCAAGCGCAACTGAAGGAGCATAGCAACAGTAGAATGGAAAGCTGTGATTGGACGAACTTATTGAGTGTTTGTCAGCAATTCTGTACCCCTACCGATTATGTTCCGCAACCTGTCTTTTTCAGATACCTGAATTATGCAATTACCAATTGAATTATTAGTAAAGAAAATTTGCCATGGTGTGTGGTTAATACCATCAGGAAATTTATATATTGGAAATATAGGCCAATGAAATAATATTAATATAATGATGAAGGAGAAAGGAGTGATAATCAAACCATTAAACAGATTATTAATGACAGTTACTTGTATGTTAAAGATTAAGAAACATCTCAGAGTGAACAATTTGATATAATCTATGAACTCAAGTTTACAGTGATATTTTTATTTTATTTTATATATTTGGCCTTTGGAACATGTTAAAATATTTACATATCAGAATTTAATGAAATTATAATAAGTATTCAGAATAGGCCTAATTTTTAATAAACTAATATCACTTCTGAATTTCTAAAGACGAAATATTAGTTTTAGAAAATGCCTACAATAAAATTACAACTCGAAAATAACTAGGAAATAATTTTTTTTTTCACAACAAAAGTTTTTTTGAAATGAACATTCTGATTATATAAATTATAAGTTTTACTATTTCTTTTGTGCCAAATAATTTGTATTTTTAATTCAAGTATAACAAGGTTTTAATAAAAATCAAAAGTTTTAAACAGATTTTAAATACAGTATTCTAAACATTATTTTATGGGAATTCTTTTATCTTCAGTATCTGTTGCTTTTAATATAGTATATTTTAAATCTTTATTAGTATTTATCAAGTAATTTTTATAAATTTAGAAATTTCCTTAAAACCAACTTAAAGTAAAGAATATGCTAGTGAATAATGAATTCTACATCTGTACTCCACATTTTAACCATAAAATGATAACTTTTTCTAAAACACGGCGGCGTAATCTGGGAAGACCAGATGTGTACCACATAAATAACTTTCCACCATTTATTTATTTGCCTTGCCTGCTTTCAGCAAAGGGTTACCAGGCTACCGTCCAGTTTTATCAACAAATCTTGCTCCTTCAAAGTTCTGACAAAATTCTATACATTCTTCTGGAGTCAAAAAGTTACCAAAGTCTGGTAATAGATTTGAAAATAAATATTTTTTAACATCATTCGCTTAATTTAGATAGACAAAATGAATAGAGAAAGAGAAAACGTTTGGGGGAAAACCGACCTACTGGTACATGAAGTGATTAAAGTTGTAATGTGAGAGAAAAGTTTTAAAAACTTGAATAAAATTCAATATTTCAATTACTTGGTACTTTGTATCTGCCATTCTATGACTGGAATATTTGTTATATTAATAATTACTATATTGTGGAATAGACGTTTGTGTTTTACTATTAAACATTACATGAAAAATATGGTTTTAGGATTCTCTTGCTATATGTATTTGCATCGGTATAAACTCGATGGACTTTGAAAGTTTTTATCTTATTTCATTAAAAGTTACTAATAATAGTAACTTTGGTAGACAGAAACACCTCGACTGGTGATAATTAAAGATGATAATCAAATAAAGAAAGGATATAAAATTTTAATGATTATGAACACATAAAAAATAATGTAATAATAACAATAATAATAGTTCATTCTTATATAGCGCAAGTAAATTTCTAATCAATATGAGTCAAAGGCCCCTTTATTATCATCAACTATTTGAAAAACAAAATTGAATCAGATTTGGAAGTAGTATTTTAAAATTTATGTTTTCAAAAGTAAAAATAAACTTTATTTAAATGATACGAAATGTCATAAATACAGTTACCAAATATGGATGACATCAAAACTGTGGTAAATATAGAGTAGGAAATTACTCCCAAAAAATGTCTTGCGACAAACTGGAATGCCACAAAATAAAGCACTAAATCAAGGCAATAGGCCTAACTCCGGTTTTGTTACAATTAATGCCCACACTTTTTGATAGGTGAATGGAATTTTGAGAACTTAAATCAAAACGTCCAACATGGTTAGAAGTGAAATTATTTCAAAATTTTAAAAAATTAAGAGGAATGCTGGTGTAAAGAATATACAAATAGTACTGTATATTAATTTGTATATGAAATCTATCTTCATTATTCAAATTTTAAATTTGAAGCTAATATACTGTATTTCAACATTATTCAAAAATTCTTGAGACTGGTGTTTAATAACTTAAAGCTTTTATAACAATGATACAAACTTGGGGGATGGTAACTTTAATGAGGTTCATGTATTATTTCTCAATATAAGGAATAAGTGACACATAAAGTACCCATAACAGCTTGGAATTTTGTGTAGACTTCGATAGCTAAATTACTAGTTTCACTGCCTTGACCGTAGGAGTGCAAATAAACACATTCTACTGTATCATGATATCTCTATGGTGATTTCCATTTCCATTATTAAATAAGAGTATAACATTATATACATATATATACATATATATATATATATACATATTGTGGGAAACT